TTTCCTTCACCAAGTTTCACCATCACCTAGGATGGAGTGCAATAATGGGATCATGACTGACTGTAGTCTCAACCTCCTGGGCTTGGCCTCCCAAGTAGCTGGGACCACAGGCACATGCCACCATGCTTAGGTAATTAAAAATTTTTTTTTTTGGTAGAGAAAGGGTCTCCCTGTGTTGCCCAGACTGATCTCAAATTTCTGGGTTCAAGTAACCCTCCTGCCTTGGCCTCCAGAAGTGTTGGGATTATAGGTGTGAGCCACCCTGCCTGGCCTCATACATCAAATTTATACAGAAAGTTTTAAGTGACCTCAAAAGTGTGAAGACCTCAGAAGTTTGACCTTGGTCTTCAAAGTTCTCTTAGGCTTTTACCAAATGAATTTTAGAATCTGCTTATCAAGTCCCACAAAGAAACTACATTGAAGCTTTGAATGAAAATGCACTGAGTTTCTATTTCACTTTGAGGGTTGTATAAACCTGATACTAAGTATTTTGATTCACAGACAGAATATCTTTCTCCATTTATTCTATTTAATACAACTTAATACTCTTCTCCAATAAGGTCTTACACATTTTTGGTAAACTTTATTTCTACGTACTTTATAGTTTTGTTGCCATAGTAACAGAGGCCAGGCGCGGTGACTTATGCCTGTAATCTCAGCACTTTGGAAGGCTAAGTGGGGTGGATGGCTTGAACTTAGGAGTTTTGAGACCAGCTTGGGCAACATAGTGAAACTCCATCTACACAAAAAATACAAAAATTAGCTGGGCATGGTGATGTGTGCCTGTAGTTCCTGCTACTTGGGAGGCTGAGGTGGGAGGATCACTTGAGCCCAAGAAGCAGAAAAGACTAAGGGTAGAGAGACTAGGTGAGGATTTATGCAGAAATCCAGGTAAAACAAAAAACAAAACAAATAAAGAGAAATCCAGGTAAGAATTATATCCTAACAAAAGGAAGACTTATCTTGGAGAGAGAAGTGTAGAGATCAGAGAATTACTTAGGCAACACAATAGACTAAATCATATTCAAAGGAGAAGAAAGGGAAAGAATTAAGGCAACTATAGGGAAGGCAATGCCATTTATTCAGATAGGAAACCTAAGAAGACAAAATTCAGGTTGGGGGTGATAGTCATTTTTCTACATGGTATATTTGAAGTGCCTTTCCAGGAGGTGTTTGAAAAAAATGGGCTGAAAGCTCAGGGGAGATATTATTTCAGGAGAGGCCTGAAAGTCATAAGAAAAGTAGGTGAAGACATGGCATGAGATTGCCTACAGAGAAGGTGAGGTAAGGACAAGGGCAGGAACTTGAAGATGAGCGAGCTAAAGGATGAGCAGCAGTAAAGGAACCCACAAAGATAACAGAGGGGTAGTTAAGAGAGGCAAGATTTGTAGAGTGCTATATAAAATGGATTATTCATATCACTGTTATTGTAGTTTACTTGTATGACATAAATCATTTTTGGTATATAGGAAACAATAAATTCTTAGACAGTTCATTTGAGAAGAACCTAATGTTATGTAGAAAAAAAGGCACAGCCATTAAGATTCCATAGACCTAGTTTAATGGCTATATAACAAAGAATTGTAGGTCATAAGAGAAAAAGCAATTATGCTGGCTTGTGGGAGTCAGAAAAGTTCCACAGAGGAGGCTATAAAGGAGTTGAGATTAAAAGAAATGTTTAAGTTTACTAGCCTGACAAATGTGTACAGTGCCTCACAGTGGAAAACATTTCAGGCAGACAGAACAAGATTTGTTGAAGCATAGTCTCAGTTTCTCCATCTGTTAAAAGGGGTAAATACCTACCCTGCTTGGCTACTGTAGCAATTAAGTAACAACACATATGCAAATCATCAGTTTCTAGTATATTTTAACTGTTTAATAAATATTTTCTTTAACCTGTGGTATATTTCTTCTGTTATCTTATTATTTTTTGAGACAGTCTTGCTCTGTCACCCAAGCTGGACTGCAGTGGTACAATCTCAGCTCACTGCAACCTCCGCCTCCCAGGCTCAAGCAGTTCTTGTGCTTCAGCTCAGGTGTGCATCACCACACCCAATTCATCTTTTGTATTTTTAGTAGAGACGGTGTTTCGCCATGTTAACCAGGCTGTTCTCAAACTCCTGACCTCAAGTTGATCTGCCCACTTCAGCCTCCCAAAGTGCTGGGATTACAGGCATGAGCCACCTCACCCAGCCCTATTTGTTATATAAGGTTTGCTATTATCCCATTACATGTATTCTTAGATTAAATTACACGTTTGAAGGCAAGGATCTGTGAACTTGTCTTGTAAATCTAGAATCTATGCAACTAAAAGTCAGTAATACATCCTTAAAATGTTATAAAGTGTTCAAAATATGCAGAAGTGATAATAGCTCACTATTTCCCTTCCAGTTCCCTACTTTATAATATATGCTATCTAACACTTAAAAAGTTTAAATTTTATAGTAATTAACTTCAACGTTACAATTTTTCTAAATGATTTTAGTTGAACTAAGAGCATTAATAGTTTTCCAAAGAAATTATTACTTCTTTGAAGAAGCTGCTGTTATAGTAAAAGTATAATATAAGTACAGATAAAACTTTATAGTAATTCAATTTTATAGTTACATATGTGTTCAATACCTGAAGAGCTGGTTGTTATCATCAACATTTTCTGATCCCCACCTGCCTTTGATATCTTCAATTACATGATTCTTAAGAAATTTCCTCAACAGTTGGATAGTCTGTTGCCTTGTAACTTCAGGACCAAAATTGCTATTATTTCTTAATAGGTCATATAGCCAATCCACTGCTTCACCTGCTGTGAAACAATTGCCGTATTTTTTAAAGTTTTGTCTGTGTTTTCTTAGGGGCATTCCAGCTCTAAAAGATGTGGTAACTTCATTCCACTGTAAAAAGAAGGAAAATATTTTTAAAAAATTGAAGGAAAATGGAATCTCATATTGATCTGAAGTACATTAGGTAAAGACAATTCTTTAGTTCATATCTGATTACATTGTAACAATTCTTGAAGAATCATTCCTCTTCTTTGTGCCATACAAAATTTTATATCTTACACTGCTTTCTTTTTGTTAATTCTAGTGCTGTAGTAATATTTTTATGTAATAGCTTTTTTATTAGAAGCACTTTAATAGCTGATCAGCTTATTTAAAAACCCTAGAAATAAGGAAGAACTGCAATCAAGAGAAAACATTGACCCTTGTTTTTTACCTCAATTAATATTAATGTTGGTAGCACTGTGCTTCACATTAGCTATTTCACTTTAATTGTCACAATTCTATGAATAGGTATTATTAATTCCTCATTTTTGAGATAAGGAAAATAAAACACAGAGATTAATAAAATGACCAAGGTCACACAGCTAAGTGATGAACCTCGGCATCCAAACCCAGGTGTGATTGACTCTAGAACCTGTACTCTCAACTACTGTGCTGGCTAAGCAAAACTTACGGCAGGCAATAGTTTTACTGGTGAAATATCTTTAACATTAAAATGGTTTATGTATTTACTATAGCATCTCTTTTGTGAAGATTCCTGTAGTGAGCATAGAACAGATAGGAAAAATTAAATAAGCTGTAAGTCCACTGCATGTTTAATGACCCTGTGACATGTACATTTTACGAAGATATTTATTTTCTAAACTGTCCTCAAATCGGCCTAACTTCTACATTTGTGACAGCTCTAACAGTGGAGCATGGAGGTGATGGTGATATAAAATAAATATACTTCTTTTTAATAGAAAAATCCTCTATTAGTGGTCAATTCTAATTTGCAACCTATTATGCCACTACTAGCTATGTTACCACTTATCTAACCTATGTGGCCCCGATACCACAAGACAGAATTTAAGGGCTGAAAACTTGATGATTGTATTGTTTTCTTTCCACATTTTCCCACTTTATATATTTATTTACCCAAGAAACTGATATTGAGCCACTGTGTACTGGTTTGAGAACACAGTAATAAAAATGACAGAAGGAGTCTCTGTACTAAAGGAGCAGAATGGGTTTTTTGAGATGCAGTACACAGTAGTGGTTTTAAGAGCAGGCTCTGGAGTTAGACTAGTAGGGTTGTTTTCCCAGCTCCAGCTCTAACTAACACTTACTGTTTATGATCTTTTGGGTCTATCTTCAATCTCTATGCCTCAGTCTCCTTAAGCATAAAACAGGAACAAAAAGAACCTACCTAACGTGCTTATTGGAATGATAAAATTATGTAATCCATGTAAAGTACTAGTAAGCATACAGTGCATGTTTTCTGTTTTAGCATACTTGTACTCATCTAACGAGTTTTAAATAATGTGGCAAGACTACCTGATTGAGCTTCCTACATATAATCCATGTAAGAATCCATGTAAGATCACCATATTAGGAAGATATGAATTCTAGCTCTGCCACTTGCTGTTGATGTGACTTTAGAAGGCATGTATCATCTGTGAGCCTCAGTGTCCACACTGATAAAGTAGGGCTAACACTACATGCCCGCCTGAAAGGCATTCCTGAGAGGAAAATGCTTGTTATTCTACAGATCACAACACACTTTCCCAAAGTGCATCCTCCTAGGAAACCCCTTAAGGCGAGCACGTATTAGTAACCTACTCTACCAATGTGGAAACAGGCTCGCAGAAGGTAGGGGACTCCCCTAACGTCACATAACCAGTACCACGGAATCCTATAGAACCGAAGACCCAACTGCACAAACGCTTTAGGAGTACTGTACATGCAAATTCAGGGACCACCAGCAGTGGCTCCTGACGGCTACTCAGAAATACTGTTTTGAAGCCGCAGTCATCCTAGCGGTATTCGGCCAGTACATCCTGCCTTAAATTCTATGGGTTCAATAAACAAAATTATCACATTCGGGCTTGCCCCCAACCTAACCCAACAAAATTTTGGACCTCATTCCCAATTGTTCCCTAATTCTTAGAAGGGTAGAAAATCAGGCGAGGGCAGCATCTAAATCGTAATAATCTACGACGTCACAGGGGACGCTGACCACATCGGGCACAGGAGTCGCCCCTCAAAGCGAGTCTGGTGCAGCCAACGTGCGGCGCTTCCTTGCGGACCTGAGCCCAGACCCTCCAACTAGAGGCAGCGGTGAGTCTGGCAAGGGTGCCATACCCATTACTTCCCCTCGCCAGCCTTTTCATTGAATCTAGGGATCCTGGGACTCATCCCTTCGACTGAGGTGAAACTACGAACGGTCTCACATAACAGTGATAACAGTCATCAGCCCGCTGCCCTGTCCCCTCTATCCGAGCTGTCTTACCAGCTTGGTGGCCCGATAAGGCCCGGGAGGCACACCCCGACTCTCCATAGGTCTGTCAGCGCCCGGTGGCGTCCATGGCTGCTAGGGCGACCCTCTGGCTCAGCGGCCCGGGCAGCTGCGTGTCCCAGCACAACCGTTGGCCCCGCTGCCGATTTGAATAGCACAGAGGGCTGCGCGGATTGGTCGCGCCCACAGTCACGTGACGCCGTAGCCAGCCTCGGGCCGAGTCGGCGGGGGCCGAGGAGGTTCGGCAGTGTCTCCCGGCTCCGGCAGCTAGCGCTGGCCGGGTTGGGCTGGCCTGGGGCCGCTGCGGTTGGGACAGGCTGTGTTTCCCCGGCGCTGCTTCTCCCTCAAGCGGTCCGCGGCGAGGTGGAGTCATGTTTCCATGCTCAGAAGGGTGGGCGGTTTCGTTCCAAACGAGATTATTTGGAGTCCAGCCTTTTGGTTTAAGGGAATTTGAAATTTGAAAAGACAAGAAAATACGGTTTTTCTGTTTGTCTACAGAATCTTCGGCAGTATTAGCTTAGAAGGCAAAGCAGCCTCATGGATATGTGTCGCAGTTTCTCGCTCTCTCATCTCTCAGCAGGGGCCATGATTCTCTCAAGTGCTAAAATGTAGGTTCAGTACCCCCGTAATTGGGTAGTAAAATGGATCATTCAGAAACCCTGAATTGGGTAGTAGAATAGATTATAGGTAGACATTCGTAAGTACATACAATGTGGGGCTTGGGAAAGATTGTGTACAACTTGCTAAATTGCTTCCCTTAAAATCTACCACTGTATATGAATCCTGGTTATGTTTGCATCATGATTATGCTCTTAAAAGTTCACTATTATCTTAGAAAACAAGTCTTCAGCAGAAGTCAGTTCTCAAATGACAAAAACTACATTCCGAGAGTTGAAGAGACTTGCTCAAAGTCTTAGGTTTCCTTGGCAGAGTGCAGACTTCATGCTGTCAATAAACACCCTGTCACCAATCTAAAACTATCTGATGCTAAGAATCCCTTAGTACAGTGGACCTGGGAGATTGGTTGAGTGATTTGAAGCTGTGGAAGAATTCACTTAGAAATTAAATAGCTGTTTAAGAGGATAGGATGCAGTAAAAAGAAGAGATAAAGGAAAATGTTCAGGGAGTGGTAGTGTAGGTCTGTGGGGTTTTCTTTAATTTGGGTTATTTAGGCAGAGACGCATCTATTTTCTAGCAGGACCAGTGGGTAGGAATTTTCAAAAAGCCCTTGGTAAACAAGAACAATCTACTCAATTTTCTATTTATGTTAAGGAAAAGTAAAATGACTGATGTTACAAAATAATGTTAACCATTTCTTATCTGGCTTTATGATACATTGTCCCAGGATTTTCCTTTTCTTCTTTTTTTTTCCCCTTTCAGAGGGAAATGGAAATGAGACTGTGGAAGCCAAAATTTATTTTGCATTTTTGCCCAGCTCCCTCCACTGAAAATCATCTCACATACAAACTTTCACATAAGTAGCCTCAGCTTAGTATTCCCTTAATAATCCACTATGGGCATGGATTCACTCTGCATCATCCACTTTCATATGATGATAAAATATTCAAAAGTTAGGTTTTTGTTAAATGTGGGATGTCTGGGTCTCTTTAAGGTAACTTTGGATACCTCTGCTCTTAACAATTATTCATTGATTGCATAGTTTAAATCTTGAAAGTCACTTTATTTCTCTCATGATCAATTCTGCGAGAGTCACTTTATCATCCATTTCCTAATTCTCCTACATCAGAATTTCTCAGAGTGGGTTACAAACTACATGTTTTAGAATTTCCTGAAATACCTGTTAAAATGCTGATTCCTGGGATTCCCCAAATGCTGATTAGGGGTGTGTTTGTGTGTGGGTGCGCATACACGTCCTGGCAGGGAAAGTACAGGATAGGGATGGAGGAGCCTGGATCTGTGAAGACTGTGCAGCTGAGATGTTGTAATGCCCATGGACTGCCTAGCTCTGTACTTATATATGAAATAATATGAGCTTGTGTTAATTTACTCTTCTAGCTGAACCTAATATAACCTACTAATTATGATACAATGAGTATCACAAAAGAAAATGAGCTTTCTTCTCTTGTCTGCCACCATGTGAGATTTGCCTTTTACCTTCTGCCATGATTGTGAGGCAGAACTTATTTCAGGTAACTGAAGAGATAATGGTGGCTGGGAGGCAGAACTAGATTGCAGCTCCCACTTGGATGGAAAGAGCAGCATGTGGAGCCTTGCATTGTGAACTTTTGCTCCAGAATGACTGCAGGAATAAATCAGGAAAGCCAAGAGAACTGATAGACCATCTGAAGGAAGTAGATTGCTCCTGCAGGACCTGGGAGACCCTGAATACTGTGCTGGCTAGTATCCATGACTGAGAGACCCACAGACAGTTCCCATCACACAACTCTATTCAGACAACTCTCAGTACCAGCCCAGAGCCTGGTAAACTTGCTGGGTGGTTAGATCCAGAAGAGAGATAACAACCATTACAGCTCAGCTCTCAAAGCCACATCCCTAGGAAAAGCGGGACAGTACTACATCAAGGGAACACTCCATGGGACAAAAGGATCTGAACCACAGCCTTGAGCCCTCGGCCTTTCCTATGACAGAGCCTACCCAAATGAGAAGGAACAAAAAAAAACCAACTATGGTAATATAACAAAACAAGGTTCTTTAACACCCCACAGAAATCACACTATTCCACCAGCAATGGATGCAAAACAAGCAGAAATCCTGATTTACCTGAAAAAGAATTCAGAAGGTTAGTTATTAAGCTAATCAGGGAGGTCCAGAGAAAGGCAAAGCACAATTTAAGGAAATCCAAGAAATGATACAAGAAATGAGGGGAGAAATTTTCAATGAAATAGATAGTATAAATAAAAAACTATAAAAACTTCAGGAAACACTTATAGAAATGCAAAATGCTCTGGAAAATCTCAGCAATAGAATTGAACAAGCAGAAGAAAGAAATTCAGAGCTCAAAAACAAGGTTTTTGAATTAACCAAAGCCAACAAAGACAAAAAGAATAAGAAAGTATGAACAAATCCTGTAAGAAGTCTGGGATTATGTTAAATGACCAAATCTAAGAGTAATTGGCATTCCTGAGGAAGAAGAGAAATCTAAACGTTTGGAAAGCATATGTTAGGGGAAGAATTGAGGAAAACTTCTCAGGCCTTGTTAGAGACCGAGACATTCAAATACAAGAAACTCAAGGAACATCTGGGAAATTCACAAAAAGATCATCACCTAGGCACAGTATCATCAGGTTATCTAAAGCTAAGATGAAAGAAAGAATCTTAAGAGCTGTGAAACAAAATACCAGGTAAACTGTAAAGAAAAACCTATCAGATTAACAGCAGATTTCTCAGCAGAAACCCTACAAACTAGAAGGGATTGGAGCTCTAATTTGGCTTCCCCAGGCAAAACAATTATCAGCCAAGAATTTGTATCCAGTGAAACTAAGCTTCATAAATGAAGGAAAGATACAGTCTTTTTCAGATAAACAAATGCTGAAAGAATTTATCACTACCAAGCCAACACAACAAGAACTGCTAAAATGACCTCTAAACCTTGAAATAAATCCTGGATAAACCTTGAAACAAATGCTGGAATCACATGAAAAGGGAACCTCTTTAAAGTGTAAATCCCATAGGACCTGTAAAGTAAATATACAATTGAAAAAAAAAATCAAGGTGTACAGGCAATGAATAGCATGATGAATGTCATGGAACTTCACATCTCAATACTAAAGCTGAATGTAAATGGCCTAAATGCTCCACTTAAAAATATGGAATTGGAGAATGGATAAGAATTCACCAATCGATATCTGCTGCCTTCAAGAGACTAACCTAACACATAGGGACTTGCATAAACTTAAGGTAAAGGGGTAGAAAAAGACATTCCATGCAAATGGACACAGAAAAATGAGTATGAGTAGCCATTATTATATCAGTGAAAATAAACTTTAAAACAACAGCATTTAAAAAAGACAAAAAGGGATATTATATAATGATAAAAGGCCTCGTCTGACAGTAAAAATATCACAATCCTAAATATATACGCACCTAACACTGGAGCTCCCAAATTTATAAAACAATTACTGCTAGACCTAAGAAATGAGATAGAAAGCAACACAATAAAAGTGAGTGACTTCAGTACTCCACTGATAGCACTAGACAGGTCATCAGGACAGAGAGTCAACAAAAAGCAATGGATTTAAACTATATGCTGGAACAAATGGACATAACAAATATTTACAGGGCATTCTACCCAACAACCATAGAATGTATATTCTATTCATCAGTGTATGGAACTTTCTCCACGATAGGCTACAAAATGAGCCTCAGTAAATTAAAGAAAATTAAAATCTTATCAAGCACTCTTTCAGACCACAGTGGGATAAAACAGCAAATCAATTCCAAAAGGAATCTTCAAAAACCATACAAATACATGCAAATTAAATAACCTGTTCCTGTATAATCATTGGGTCAACAATGAAATCAAGATGAAAAGTAAAATTCTTTGAACTGAACAATAATAGTGACACAACATATCAAAACCTCTGAGATACAGCAAAGACAGTGCTAAGAGGAAGCTGATAGTTCTAAACACCTACACTGAAAAGCCTGAAAGAGCACAAACAGACAATCTAAGGTCACACCTCAAGGAACTACAGAACAAGATCAAACCAAACCCAAACCCAGCAGAGAAAGGAAATAACCAAAATCAGATCAGAACTAAATGAAATTGAAATAAAAAAATAAAAAACATAAGTGAAACAAAAGCTGATTCTTTTAAAAGATAAATAAAATTGATAGACCA